GTCCTGAGAAGATACCTTTTGTGTAAAGAGTTGAAAGGAGGTCATGGAGTTAGCCATGCAGACACCTGGGGTGAGGGTTCTAGGAAGAGGACCTCTCTCAAGTGTTCAGCAGAAAAGTCTGCACAAAAGCCTAAAGCGGGAGCTTGTTTTGTCAACTTCAAGAACCACACAGCCAATGTGTCTGGTGCCCAGTGAAGAAGAGAGAGAGAAGTAGGAGAGAGTTCAGAAGTCATGGGAGCCTAGATCACCGTGGAGGCCGTAACAGTAAGGGCTTGGGCTTTACTCAGTGAAATGGAGAGCCCTGCAAGGTTCTGAGCAGAGTGACAGAATCTGAAGTTTACAAGGACCACTGTGGCTGCTGTGCTGACAAAGAGAATGGGGCAGAAAGCAGAGTCATCTAGAGGAGAGATGATGGTGGCTTGGACCCGAGTATTAGCAATGGAGGTAGTGAGACATACTTGGATCCTGGGTATATTTGGAAGGTAGAGTCAACAGACAGGATGGATCAAGAGGTTAAAGAGAGACATCAAGGAGAACACCACGATTTTGTTCTGAGTGGCAGGAAGGATGAGTTGCCATCAGTTGAGTTGGGGAAGATGGCACAGGACTGGGAGTTCAGCTTTGGACACTGATGAAATACAAATGCATATTCTAAAGGGAGTCAAGGAAAATTTGAACATAAATAATTTTCTCTGCCCTTTGGCCTCCTCTCTTCCCTCTACTGTGCATTGCATATCTGCACCATGCATCGACCAACCTCCCCGTCGGCAGAAATACCTGGTCAACTGTAAAGAGCAACCTTCTCCTAGTATCAACAAGATAACTCCTTAGGAGATAACCTTCCTCCTTGATCTTGTAAGGGGCCCTGATGACCCATGACCCATTACTTGCTTTGTAGGTGTCGATGTGGATTGTGTGAATGTCACTGTGTACGTCATTTAACGAACAAAGACCTGGATAACTGTGCTTTGACCTCTCACAGGCAGAACACTTCTTGAAGCTTTCCGAGAGGCTGTTCCCGGCTCATACGCCACAATTTGGCTCAAATAAAATTTACCATTGCTTTCTTAGATCGACTGATTAAATTTTTCTTCGACAACACCATGAGGTAGAAATGTTTAGCTGGAAATAGAAACGTGGGAGTCGTTGCACAGAAGTGGTATTTAAAGCAATGGAATCACCAGGGTGTAAAGGTAGGGAAGAGGCTCCAGGTCAGAGTCCTGCCTCACTCCACCTTGAAGGAAGCTGGGTTGAAGAGGAGGAATCAGCAAAAGAGAATGAAAGGAAGCAACCGGAGAGGCAGGAGAAAAACCAGGTGGGTGTGGTGTCCTGGAGGGGAGAGCGCAGGGGCCAGCAGGGAGCTGAGGTAAGGCCCGCTCCTCAGGCTGTGCCCTTGAATCTTCTACGACGTTGGTGGTCCTTCCCCTCAGACCAGCGTTTTTCCTTGGTGAGCAGAGGCACCCCGACCCGTCATCATAACTCTCACTAGATCGCCCTCTGCCCTCCACACACGGACACCAGACAGATAGCAAGACCGTTTGTTTATTGAACCCTTCCCAGCCAGCTCTCCTTTTCCCCTTCTGGCGGGCAGATCCCCAGCCTCCCACCAAGGGCCAAGAAGAGTCAACCGGAGCTTGGCCCTGGCTCCTTCCTCCTGCCAGGCTTCCCTGCCACACAGCCTGGGCTTCCTGGCTTGCCTTGGAGGCTCTGTTGCTCCTTTTCTCCCACAGCCTCCCTCTGGAAGTGTGTGATGTAGGCCACCTGACCCTGATTACAATGGCCAAAGTAAGAGCTCATGGTGCTGTCGGAGAGGCCACTGAGATGCAGCTCTGGGGACAGGGAGATGAGCCTGAGTGTGGGTGCCGCCGCACCTCTGCTCCAGCCCCCTCACACCCCACTCACCTTTGGTGACATTGACTTCGTTGGCCGCCAAGATGTCCGCCTGATTGCTATCTATTCTCCTGTACAAGTCCTCGGCGTTGCCCTGAGGACAGGAGCAAGGGGAACTGGGCTGGATGCCAGGGCGGGCTGGATGCCAGGGCAACCTGGACTTGGAGTTGGGCGTGGGCACATGGAGGTTGCAGGCTGCGGTCAGGCTCTTAACCTGAGTGGAAGGGCAGGAAAGGGGACGGAAGGGTGCCAGGTGGAGAAGCCCAAGCCAGGGCAGTCCCTCCCGCTGCCGGCCCCGAGGCCGATCTGTGTGGGGGGTGTACAGGGGGAGGGGCCGTGCGCTGGGCTGTGCACAGGGGCACTGTTGTGTCCCGCGGGGCGCGGCGGGGCGGGAGCACTTACACGGAAGAGCTTGTAGAGTTCCTCCCCCATGGACCTGCGCACGTGCTCCTCCACCACTGGGAATAACTGCACAAAGTACTGCGTGGGCGGGCGAGGGGGCGTGACTGCCGTGCCCACGCTCTGTGCCTGCCGCGCCGCCCTGCCGCCCGCCACCCGGCCGCCCAGCGCACCTCTAGCGTGAGGCTGGCCTGCCGCTGGCTGTTGCTGTGGTCCATGTTGCCCATGGCGGCCATGAGGCTGTGCACCACGCGCAGGTGCAGCATCTCCTCGGCCAGGCTCGTGTTGCCTCGCGCCAGGATCCTGGGCGGGGGTGGCGTGGGGTGGGGGTGGGATTCGTGCTGCTGCGGCCCCGTGGGACCCTCTGGCGGCCGGAGCGCTCTTGGGGGCCCGCGGGCAGCGCCGGAGCCTGGCTTGCCGCATCCGCCCACTACCTGCTGCCCGCTTACCTGATGGCGTTGGCGCCGCGGCCTGCTGCAAAAACCACGGCAGGTGGGTGGTGAGCTGCAGAACCGAAGAGTCTGGAAGAGGGAGGAGTGGCCGTGAGACTGGAGGACCCCTCGTCCTCATCTTCCACCCTGCCCCGTCGGGGTCCACCACCCCGTTCTCAGTGGATCCCTACCGCTGACGATCTGGGACTGCTGTTTGCTGGTCTCCTTGAAGGACGGTTTCAGCAGCGCCACGAGGCCCTTCAGCAGCGCCGGGCACACGTCGTAGTTGACCAGGTCCTTGATCAGCTCGATGGCTGGGGAAGGCAGGGGCGCTGGAGAGGCCCGCCGCTCCACTCCCCGCCCTCGCCCTCGCAAGGAAGCAGCACCCCCTCCCCTCCAACTCTTTATCGACCTTTCTTAGCACCTCTTACTGGCCAGCACTGTGCCAGGCGTGGGGGGAGCTGGGCTGCAACCCCTCAGACCTGCCCTTCTGGATCTCGTGGTTAAAGGGGAGAGGGAGGAGGAGGCCAAGGCCCCCTGGGACTCACAGAACCAGCCAGAGCCGGAGGAAGAAGGTTGGAGGCTTAGAGGCTGAAAAGAGCTGGAGGCCCCACAGAGGTAGGGCCGCCAGAGGGCTTTGAGGAATCTAGGTTTCCTGGAGGAGGGAAGGACGGCGGGTCTTCAAAGGGAGACAGGATGGGGAAAGACAAGGGGTGAGGGGGAGACAGAGCAAGTGGGTGGGGATGTGTAGCAGAAAATGAGAAAGGAGGTGAGGTCGACAGCAGTTTAGAGAAACTTTCCTTTCTGACGGACCCTTATTGAGGCCTTGTTTGCCTAGGCTCTGTGCAGAGGGCTCTCCGTTCAGAGTCCCAGTGACGATCCCTGTGACCAAGGAGCTTCATTTTGCAACAGCATGATGACTTATCCCTATTGGACATTTGAGGGAATGAGGCACAGAGAGGTAAAGCACTTGCCATAAGGTACCACAGCTAGGAAGCGGTGGAAGCAAAAGGAGGGAAAGATTCGGTTAGGAAGGAGGAGGGGACTAGAATTTAAAGAGGGCATTTTCTGTGGCTGCTTCGCAGTCATTCATTCCACCTAGCATTGACTCAGCCTTTCGGCCAACCTGCATAGGACACGTCTTGTGCCCGGCGAACAGTTTGGTGACAAGTGCTATGAAAGGGGTCGGTGGGCTGTGGGAGAGCCTGGGAAGATGGCAGAGGACTGAATATTTTTGTAAAGAGAAAAGAACCGCAGACAGGCAGAGCTGGAAGCGGGCAGGTAATGTGGTGTGATAGGACAGCGGGTAAACACAAGTGCTTGCTGCATGGAAGATGGGGCTTAGAAATGAGCTGTCCCCCCAGCTGCAGAGTCAAGTGCCGCTGGCCTCTCCACCTACTTCGAGGGCACAGTTGTTTCCCTGACTAGCTCATCTGCATACCAGAATGCAGTGTAGACTACGTGAGAAATATTAACAGTATTATCTGTTTGAAAAACAAAAAATAATGTTTTGTTTTCCTTTTAAAAAAATTTTTAAAATCTATTTATTTAAGGGTGCGTTGGGTCTTTGTTACTGTGCACAGGCCTTCTCGAGTTGTGGTAAGCAGAGGGGCTACTACTCTTTGTGGCAGTGCACGGGCTTCTCCTTGAGGTGGCTTCTCTTGTTGTGGCGCACCGGCACTAGGCGTGGGGGCTTCTGTAGTTGTGGCCCTCAGGCTCAGTAGTTGTGGCGCATGGGCTTAGTTGCTCGGGATCTTACGAGCGTACGTTGGCAGGTGGATTCTTAACCACTACGCCACCAGGGAAGTCCCACCTTTTATTTTCTTGTCAGGAGCTTTTACCCAGTAAGAACATGTTTAGGGGTCATTCTCTACAATGGAAGACAGGTTTTTGTTGGTAGGTACAAAGGCAGCACAAACGTTGGGGGACCAACGATATATGGGAGGATGGGCATGCATGGTACTCACATACACATTCCTCCCCAGTTTAAGGAAATCTTTTGTGTCTTGGCAAAGACTTTCGTGGAGAGAAACACTTGAGAATTGGTAGTGGAATCTTTTGAGGTTTTACTTAGATAAGGGTAAGTATGTGGGATTTCAAAGACAAATGGCTGATGTGTAGAACTATAAAGAGGTGCGTAGTTAAGAGATAGAAGATGCAGCCAACTTGTTCTTTCAGAAAGCAGTTCCAAGTTTAAGTTGTAGGTTGGGAACTGCGTTCTCCGATTCCCTGCCCCAGCTGTAAGTGAGGCTCTAGAGAAGTTATATAGCAATCTTACTCATGAACACAGATGCAAAAATTCTACACAAAATATTAGCAAATTGAGTCTAGCAGTGTGTAAAAGGAATAATGTGCCATCTAGCAATGCACATATATCATCTTAATAGAAAGAAAGTTTGAGAAAATTGAATCTCAGTGTGGTAAGAGCTATCTACCAAAAACTATAGCAAAGGTCATACCTAATAGATGAAACCTTGGAAACTTTCCGTCTTAGATGAGAAGGCACCCTCCCACACATTCCTCTCCACAAAATCTTTAGTAAAAGGTAAAAGACAAGTGATCTGGGACTTCCCTGGTGGCACAGTGGTTAAGAATCCACCTGCCAATGCAGGGGACACGGGTTCGAGCCCTGGCCTGGGAAGATCCCACGCGTCGCAGAGCAACTAAGCCCGTGCGCCACAACTACTGAGCCTGCGTGCTAGAGCCCGCAAGCCACAACTACTGAGCCCACGTGCCTCAACTACTGAGCCAGCGCTCCACAACAAGAGAAGCCACTGCAACGAGAAGCCCACGCACCACAACGAAGACCCAAAGTCAGCCGAAAAAACAAAAAAGGACAAGTGATGTGAAGAGAGGCCAGAGTACACTTAGCTACATTTGCCACTCTCTCCTTTACTGATTGTAACTCTCCAAGACTGGTGTCTATTCCTGTGCTATGGCCGCTCCTCCAGGAAAATCTTTGAAAGGGATTTTTGGAAAAGATGTACTCTCTTTTTCTAATCTCTGGAAGAGTTTAAGACTAGAATGTTTTCTTGAATGTTTGATCGAATTCTCTGAAGCTTCTGATCTTATGGAAAAAATTAATTACTGATTCCTTTTCTTTAATGGTTAGAGGACACTTTGGGTTTTCTACTTCTCGAGTACGTTTTGGTAAATTATATTTTCTCGCTGTTTTCGTCTAAAGTTTCAAACATATTGCAAGAAGTTTTCATTATGTCATTACAAAATCATTTTAATGAATGTACCATCTATAATGATGTCTCCTTTTATAGTCTTCATATTGATTATATGGGTTTTCTCTTTTTGCATCAGTTCCCTTTGCCCCCAAGTCCCATGGGAGTAACACAGATGAACGCCTGCTTATGCAATGGATTTTATTACAAAGAGGAACCCTGATTTCAGAGAACCTGAATGTTATATAGCAGTCAGTAAGCATGCCTGCCCTTTGCTCTAAAGGGGAAAGTGTCTTTCTTTTCTTTTCTTTTTTTTTTAATTTATGGACATTATTATTTATTTATTTACTATGTATGGCTGCATTGGTTTTTCGTTGTTGCGTGTGGGGTTTCTCTAGTTGCGGCGAGCGGGGGCTACTCTTCGTTGAAGTGCGCGGGCTTCTCATTGGGTGGCTTCTCTTGTTGCAGAGCATGGCCTCTAGGCACGCGGGCATCAGGAGTTGTGGCATTTGGGCTCAGTTGTTGTGGCACACCGGCTGAGTTACTCCTTGGCATGTGGGAACTTACCAGACCAGGGTTCGAACCCGTGTCCCCTGCATTGGCAAGTGGATTCTTTTTTTTTTTTTTTCTTTTTGTGGCACGCGGGCCTCTCACTGTTGTGGCCTCTCCCGTTGCGGAGCACAAGCTCCGGACGCACAGGCTCAACGACCATGGCTCACGGGCCTCGCCGCTCCGCGGCATGTGGAATCTTCCCGGACCGGGGCACGAACACGTGTCCGCTGCATCTGCAGGCGGACTCTCAACCATTGCGGGACCAGGGAAGCCCGGCAGGTGGATTCTTAACCACTGTGCCACCAGGAACATCCCAAACCTATGACTCTTTAACACTATGTGAATTACATCCTGCACTGCCTTGTAGCAAATCACCCCCTGTAGCATTTGCATTTCAGAAAGAAGGTCGCGCAGGCCAAGAGCCCCGAGACACACCGGCCCAGTTACCGGGCTGTGAGGCCAACAGTGACTGTTATGAAATAACGCAGGAAGAAGAAGAATGCAAGACCTTCACTATTTTGATCCTTATCATATATGCCAGACTGCGAGCCCCGCATATAAAATCTTTTCCTATTACCGAAGGAGATGGGGGCACAGTTCTTCAGGCGCTAGCCTGCTGTGTCTTCCTTTCTGCCTGGCAGAAAAATAAAGCCATCTCTCTCTTCCTCCAAAATCTGTCTCCGTATTTCTGTTCGGCATTGGTGCACAGGCAAGCTGATATTTCGGCAACACCATCATCCATCTGCTCTTGCTCTTAAGGCCAGTTGAAGATGGTCCCTTGCAGTTTCCCAAGTTAGGTTACTGATGTGAAATTCTCCTGCCCCTGGCCCTACCTCCTTCCCTTTCCCAGCCACGCAGAAGGCAGTTTGCTGGTTGTCTTCCCCAATTCTTCTCCAAGTAGGTTATGTTTACTCCCCAAATCCGTGAGCCAGAGGTGGGGGTGCCTACACTCCCAAACTCTGAGTGTCCACCTTCCCCTGCTGTTTGTAGTCTCTTGTGCTGTGCCTGCAGTGGCAACTGGGCGGGGGAGGACACTGCCCTTGTCTAGGTTTTTCTAAATGTCTTACTCAAGATCTAACCTCCAGTTTGTGAGTCAACTGTGTCTCTTTTTTGACTTTTAAGCAAGTATTAAGCTTTGGGGTTGTGGGGAGGCCTGTAATGTGAAACAACTTCTTTTCTTCCTTCCCCCCACAGTGTTGTAAATAACTTTTAACGGCCAAACTCCAGATTTGCACTTTTCTTTTCCCTAACTGCTAAAACCATTTTCTTGCCCCTGGTCTTACTGTAACATTTGGAAAAGGAATAAATGTCGTCCCTTAATAAAAACAAAACAAAATAAAACAGACTTTCTGGCTGGGCTCGGCGACTATATTCCTATCTGGTTTCTGCTTCGCCCCCTGGTGGTGGTTCTAGACCGAGCAGGAAAACTAATAAAGGAAGGCATTTGCCGAAGCGCGAGGTTGGTGACTCAGCTTCATTTACATACCCAGAATGCATTGCATTCGGGATCTTGCCTACTTTCAAAAGGCTCTAGCCTTCTATTTCTTTTGACTCCCAGCCCCGCTCGGAATCAGGATATTTTCACAGAAGTGTGTGAAATAATTGCAGAAGTCACTCGTTGTTTGCGGGTAAATAGTTACCGTTGGTGCCTTGGGACTTCCAGTTAGCCGAGGACTG